TCAACTTGAAGAAGAAATTTTTAGGTAACATTAAACCACGGGCAAGTTGGAAATAAAATTGTAATGTAAACTTCACAAACAAAGGCTAGAAACTACTGTATTTTAAATTCCAGTTTTCGTTTTGAAAAACTAACTTTACGCTTGATTAAAACATTGTTGCAACGATTGTAAACCGACAAGAAAGTAAGATTATCATATTGTGATTTTCATTACTCCAAAAGCTTGTATTAGCTATCATTTTCAATTCTTAATAGTACTTTTCTTGACACAAAATACATTGTTTATCTCTTTTCATTAGGAGGGAGCTCTAAGCACCCGATCGTTTCTAAGGCAACAAGTCTGTTCTTCAGTAGACTTGGCGAGAAACGATGTTGTTTACACTTCAAGCCACTATCCACAAGGAATTGTATGAAAACGTTTTGTCGTATCTAATGTCTAAAATAACTGAGTCCGCTTTCGTTTTCCTCGTTCGCAGCTGTTAAACAACCTACCTGATGAAATGAGGCATCGTGACGGAAGAGAATTCACTCATAGTGCTGTGAAACAGGTCGTTGAAATGTACGTTATCAATACACTAAATGAAAGAAATAAATAAGTCGTCAGGTGTGGTTATTATATATATATATATAGCTGAATAATGTTTAATGGCTGATGAGAGCGAGAAAGCTAAGACTAGTCATGAGAAGATAAATAAATACATTACTAGCAATCTGTAAGTTAATATTTTGTTATTATTATCTACAAAATAACTACAGTTTCTTTCTGATTTCACAAAGATAAATAGAGAAAACCGTCGAGACCACATGCTTTGATAATGTGGACGTTCTAACCTGCTGTCGATATGGTCTTCGGGAAGTTCCTCCTCTATCAACGCGCTGTCGTCAGGACGCAAAGTAGTGTCGAAACTGCTTCGTTTTGACATGGGAAACGGAGCTTTAGTTTTCTTATCTCTTACCTGACTTATATCACTAGTCCATGCTGCTTTCTCCTGCGATGTCGGGGCTACCAGATGAATGACGACCGGTGGCCCGTTCTTGTTATCCACGACAATCTTGAAGTCGAGCCCACCATAATCTTTCTGTACACCGGAACCGCTAGATGTCGCCATACTACTCGTTTCGCTGAGTCCGTTTGACTGGCTTGAGGCAGAACTCACAGAACTCTCTACGGAAGCAAGAGATGAAATTGGTAATTCGATTTTTGCGATATGAAAATAATATTGGGATTTTAATTACAGATGTATGGAATAACTCGTAGAATTGGTCTTATCTTGTGATTCAAGTTACAGGTTTTTACGTTCTTTTGAATATTCACCAAATATTTCTGAAACAAAAGCTGATTTTTTTTTTAAAATAAATAAACTTAGTATTCCGAAAATTGTTTAATTTTGGAGTCTAAGTTCAAGGGAGCTCCAGTTCAATCTACACTTTGATCAACACGTGAAGAACTGAATAGTGGACAATGACGCTTTTTCTTTACTTCACCTATCCAGTGTATATATGTTTCTCATAGTGACTACAAAGTACGTTCACGCCAACATTATGTGAGATTTTTTTAAAGACAACTTTAAAGCTTTTAAAATATTCGAATATTCTCTGTTTATTTAAAATATAGCACTGCTTATTGGAACAAAAGGTACGTTACCTCCGTCTTCCACAGAAAACTGAAACTGTTCATTCGGATCTTCGACTAACGTAGCATCGGCTAAAGAGACTTTCCCCACTCCCTGCAAACAAATAACTTTTTAATTAACAATAATATTATTAATAAGTAAAATTATCTACATAATATACTACAGGTCACAACTTTGGAAGTAGCAGATGATGTGCAGAGGGATTGGGAGTGAGCATAATCAGAGGGATTAGGAGTGAGTATTATCAGAGGGATTAGAAGTGAGTATTATCAGAGGGATTAGGAGTAAGTATAATAATAGGGATTAGGAGTGAGTATAATCAGATGGATTAGGAGTGAGTATAATAAGAGGGATTAAGAGTGAGTATAATCATAGGGATTAGGAGTGAGTATTATAATAGGGATTAGGAGTGAGTATAATCAGATGGATTAGGAGTGAGTATAATAAGAGGGATTAAGAGTGAGTATAATCATAGGGATTAGGAGTGAGTATTATAATAGGGATTAGGAGTGAGTATAATCAGATGGATTAGGAGTGAGTATAA